ATCAGGCTCAATAGTTGAAGCACATGAAAAATGGGGCCTCGGCATGTGTGGCGGGCCACGACCCATAACATGGCCCAAAAACCAACCTCAAACATTGTCCAATAAAATAATAAAAATAGATAAATAAATAAAATTATAGTACTAAAAGCTCTGCTGATTCGAATATCCTGGACCCGGGTCGGGACATTATGTTGACCCGGCTCGCCCTTTAAAATCCCCTTCTCCTTCATTTGGTCTCTTCCATTTTACCCAACACATTAATCCCCTCGTAAAACTCCATTTTCGTTTGGTGTGTATACACACAGATACGAACACATATTTGATCGGAGCCAATTTGAACGGAATTTCTCTTTCAAGTGAGTTCAGGTGATGATCCATTTGATGATTTTTTTTTTTTCTCATTAATTTTCAGATTTACAGGGTTATGATTAAATTCTCGTGTTCATGTTAATCCGCCATTTTAACCGTCTGAAGATCGATCGTTCGGAGTTGTCTTTGCGTTTGTTGAATTATCTCAATTATCTCTTTCGGTTATTTTTCCCTTTTGTTGACTTGCTCTGTGCAATTGATTAGTATCGATGATGTCGTCGTCGCCTTTGTCGTCTAATCCGGCGGTAAATTCCGATCGATCGCCCGCGAGGAGGAGAAAGCGGAAGAAAATGCACAGTCAGAGCCAAAACCAATCGGAAATCAATCTCGAGGGGAATCCACGGGTAGAATGGAAATCGGACGCGCAACAGCAAATCTACTCGGCGAAGCTCCGCCGCGCACTGCAGCAGGTCCGGCGAGGCGGCGGGACGCCGGTATCCGCCTCGCGGCGGGTGCACGAGGCGGCGGATCGGGTCCTGGCAGCGACCGCGAGGGGACGGTCGAGGTGGAGCCGGGCGGTACTCACCAGCCGGCTAAAGGTGAAGTTCGCGAAGAAGATCAGCGCGGAGAAGCGGCGGCGCAAGGTGATGACGGTGATCACCGGCGGCGGGGATGGCCGCGCCGGACAGAGGAAATCGAAGGTGAGCGTCTCGCGGCTTAGTTCCAAGGGACTTCCGGCGTTTCAGAGGAAAGCCGGGATCCTCGGCCGGTTGGTCCCCGGTTGCCGGAAACAGCCGCTGCCGGTGGTTTTGGAGGAGGCGGCTGATTACATAGCCGCGCTTGAGATGCAGGTATACACTTACATGGTTACATCGACATCATAAATCAACATCATATATTATTATTTCAAATTTTATTAATTTGCAGGCTTTATTTAAGCTAGTTTTTGCGCATGCGAAATCATGCAATTTTGGGTGCTGAGTTATAGTTGTGAGACAATAATAATCTATTGAACTATATGCTTTCTGGTAAAATAAAATAAAATAAAATAAAGATAAAACTCCTAATTTTATTTTGATTATAGAAAAAAGTGACCTGTAAAATCCACGTGTCGATCAATGCTATCCAACCACCATTGACAAAAAGCTCAAGCAATTTCAAATGTGTTCCTTTAAATTTGATGAAAGCTCAATATATGAAACAAACGTAATTTCCAAACAAGTGAGTTTGGTTAGAAATGTGATATATGGCCAACTGCTAATTCTTCAATTTCCGACCACTATTTTTTTTTTTTTTTTAAATTAATCTTTTTTTTTTTTTTGAAATAGTCTCACATGATCATTTTTTCCTAACCAATTTATGATTATTCATATTAACAACCTTGCTATATTTTATGATTGATCATCTGAAATTTCACATGCTATATAACTTATAAATCTTTTTATTTTGTTTAATTCTAATGACATAATGCTGATTTTCTGATTGATTCTATAATTATTATTTTGTTCGTGCATACAAGAATTTTCAAAAAAATCTAACATTTTTACTCTGAATATTTTTTTTTAACTCAACTTTAATTCAACTTCAATTTTGCAGGTGCGAGCCATGAGTGCTTTAGCGGAGCTGCTTTCTGTTTCCGGGCCTTCTAATAGCGGATTTGACATGACTTCTGCTGATGGGCTTAATCAGCTCGGCCCAAGGCCACCTTCCCCTAGTTAAGCTGCCTTTTTTTTTTTTTTTTTTTTTTTTTTTTTTTTTTTTTTTTTTTTTTTTTTTTTTTTTTTTTTTTTTTTTTTTTTTTTTTTTTTTTTTTTTTTTTTTTTTTACGTTTCATTTTCATTTTCTTTTTATTTTACTTATAAGAGTGTATTTAGAATAATAATAATAATGTGTTAAATTCACGAGTTTGAGATAATTAGGAAGAAATGCGTTTGGTCACAATCTTCTTTATTCACGTGTGTGGTAACAACTTTTGAATTTTGCCAAGAGGTCCTTTAAGACTAATTTAAGTTCGAATCTTTTCACCTTTTATTACAATACAAAATGGTGTTTTTAAAATCTTAACATAAACTTTGTTACATACCCTATATATTTTATTCATTATTCTTCATTTTTTTTTTTTT